CTTGAAATCCAGAAAATAGCTCTCCCTCCGAATCATCCCGACTTGGCTGCTTCCTACAACAACATCGGTATGGTGTATGATAACATGGGCGAGTACTCAAAAGCACTTTCATCGTATGAACGATCACTTGAAATCAAGAAAATAGCTCTACCTCCGAATCATCCCGACTTGGCTCTATCGTACAACAACATCGGGGGGCTGAATTACAGCATCGGCGAATACTCGAAAGCACTTGAGTGTTATGAAACAGCACTTCGAATGTACCAAACGTCGCTTCCTCCTGGACATCCTAAAATGGTTCTAACGGAAAATAACATCGCACTTGTAAAAAAGAAAATGTAATTTTTTTTTTCGTTTTTAAAGAGAAAATAAACAGGCCATCTTGAAATCCAAGCTCGCCGAAGCAAGCAGCTGCAAAATTTCGCGCACGCGCGACCAGAGATACCCTCCGTATTCTGCTGGCTCGTACAGTGGACAAAGTCGGCAATGGTTAGGCAAACATACATCGATGTATGCATGAATAGTACGACCATGATCATCATCTTCGAAAAGACGATGGCGAAATGGACGCTTCTATTCATACATACATTGATGTATGTTGTGAAAGCCTACCATCTGCACGCCTGCACGGGTCACCAACAGAACGTCGGATATCCCTGAGAAGGTTCAATTGTTTTAGAGCCACCCTCAAAAGCTCCATTAGTTAGAAAATTATTTTTATTCTTCTGTTACGAAGAACAAGAAGAAGTAGAAATGGAAGAAAGAAAAGATATGAAAACGGAAAGACGCGATGAAAGACGACGTCGACGTTACGGAATGATAATACGCAGCGCACGATAACAACCGGTGTTTGTCAAGCAATGGAATCTTGAGTGCACGATATCTTTGTCGTCTTTAAACATTTCATGTTCAATTCGTCTGTGTTTTCATCTCGTATGTGTAAAGATCATTTGAATGTCGTGCACTCGCCATTGTAGCAAACGAACGATGATTGAATGAAACGGCGGATAAAAACAATACATTCGCCGTCAATTTGAGTAATAACTCATGCACTACATATTAAAATATAGATAAAGAATAGAAAAAAAGGAAAGTTTTAAATATTTTTTTTTATACTTTATGATGGTATGTGATGGTTATATTAACATTGATGTTCTAAAAGAACAAAAGTTATTCGAAAGATACTTATCAGACTTTCTGTTATTAAATGAGCTTTAATATTAATATGCCATAAGAAAATAAAAAGTATAAATATTTTTCTTTATATTTTCATGAAACAATTCTTAAATTATTTAAATTTAAAAAAAAAACTTTTATTAGATAAGGAAAATCTAATCAACAAATTTCATAGATATTTTATGTGAATAATTGAATTTCTATTTGAAAAAAAATTTGCTCTTTAACTTCAACAAACTTATGAACAAAATATTTTTTTTTATTGAAAATGATTAATAATTCGATGTTGTTGCTACTTCTATTTAGGATTATGAAATCATTTTTTCACATCTTATTTCGATTAACATTAACATATTTTTTTTTGAAGGTTACAATTGAAGATTACGAATATTATTTTGATCAATTTTAATTTTTAATAGTTATTTATTATATTCACAATAAGATCTTAATTTCAGTTCTAAAATATTAAAAAAATCATAAAAAATTAAATGATCATATAGATAATTTATGAAAAAGCTTTCATTTTATCTTTAAATTTTATCTTGGGATGATGTTAATATCAATGTTGATCGTCATCATACTTCAACTTTAACTTATTTTACTCGATAAGTTTTTTATTTAGGTTTAACAACTTGGCCAACACTTTGCTTGTGTTTTGATTGATTTTTATAAAATAAAACATTAAAAATCATTGTTTGTTTATAAAATTTGAAGGTTAAGAATTAAACATAATTTTATTCTCTATCACACCGACACCCTGTAAAATTCATGCTTGATTTCTGATGATCATAATCAACGATATGGTTTACGTTTTTGAGTTAAACCTAATAGCTAATTTCTGGAAAAGAAAAAGGAGACATTTCTGTATTTTCAATAACTCATCTGACACTTTGTACTGTAAGATGATTTCTAAAACAAATCGTTTTCGTAAAACATTTCATAAAAAAACCTAAAGATGTTGTACTTTAATGTAAATTCAATTTTTCACATCTGCTTCAATTTCACAGTTCTAGGTACGGTTCAGATGATTAGTTTCTCACTATTTTCTCTTCATCAAAATTTACTTGAAAATAAATAACGTTTTCATATATGTTTTTGAATTTTTTGCAAGGAGTATAGATTTCAAAATAATTGTCTCTTTAATAGTATCAGATGAAAAGACTTCTAATAAAGTTCTCTTAGTTTAATTGTTGTGAAAGGCACAAGCAACACTGGCTATTGCTGTTATCAAGTTATTGAGATTACACTGAAAAATTAGATTCTTCAACGATGGTAATAATATGACTACTTTTTGCCAAGTATACGACAGAAAATTAATAAAATGATTTTCTTTTCGTTGAATAAATTCCAACTTTTTACTTAACTTCAACAAAGTAATAATGTCATATTATCTTCTGGATTAAAAATTAAATTTTTATCTTGTATCTGTTTCAGCCGGATAAACCTAAAATGAAATAAAGAGATATTGATTTTCTATGACGATTTATATACAGTATCTAGAAACGTATCTGACAAAACTTAAACATTATGTTCTTTGAGGTTTTGTTTTCGTCTCCGATAAAAAAAATTTCGTATGTCAAGAATATAAAATATCCTTGAAAAATAGATGACAAACGAAAGAAAAAAAGAATGTATGCTTTTGTTTTTTTCTTCAATAAGCACATTTTTTTGTTGTTTTGATGACAGTTTTTTTCAATTTTTTTTCTTTCTTTTCATGTTGTGGAATTCTGTTTTTAGAATCTAATCTGGAAAAAGAATTTGATCGAATCATGACATTCTAAAAGCACGAAAGACAAAAAAAAATTTCTATCAGTGAAAGCACTAATACAACGAATAAATTCATCATGACTTAGTTTTGTTTCGACTATGGTGAAGATAGTTGGAACAAGTTCAAATATGTGAATAGCTTTTATAGAATTGAATATAGATTTAAATAACCATTTTCTTTTTTTAAAATATACTCATGCTGATAGCAGATACATCTTTACATCAACATCAATAATGATTCTTTTTGAAAATGGTATTTCAAAAAAACAGAAAATTTTCTTTGCGTCTATAATCGGATCTTGCTTTTGAAATTTTTAAACAACTCTTTCTATTACTATGTTCGCCGTATATATCTATCGATAAATTCCACAAAATAAAAAAAGACAATTTAGCCCCGACAAAAATCGTTCTTGTTCCAAAAATCAGTTTTTAGCATCAGTAATTTTTATTTAACATCATCTTATATATGATGTATTAGGTCACGTCCTTTTTTTTTGAAATACTTCAGACAATAAAAGAAATCTCGGTCGAACCAAAAAAAACAAAGGTTCCTTATATAATAGATTAAATGGAGATAGTATTCAAGTTAACATTTAAAAAAAAGGACTTTCATAAATATTAATAGAAACAATCATACAAGTTTTTCGAAAACAATATGCATACGAAGTATGTTGGTTAAATTGAATTTTTTTTACAAGCTCAAACTATCAATGGTTGCTGGATGCCCAGAAGTACACTTCAATTTTGGACATCATCTGTTTATGATTAGAATGAATATTGTTCCAAATCTTCAGATAAAATCTCCATCAACGAAAAACCCATAGATGACTAATTGAAAATAGATATTATTAGGATACGTAATTTTCTGAATATTTTTATCATTTCTATAATCAATACATGACCATTCTGACAAAGCAGTGAAGTGTTTTTATTAACTTCTGCTTATGCATGTATCAATTATTATTGAGTTGAAGTGTTGAAGAAAACAAAACGTACGTATATCAGGATACGACATATTGGTCGTCTGTACACATATCTGTTTGATTAAATTCATTTTCAAAACGATATGTGATCGATGGTTACGTTCATTTCTCTCGTTGTTCAATTGTAATGTATAAGGACGATTCATATGTCGTGTGCTTGTTACTGGATTATAGAAAGAAAAAACGTTGTCTTAGGACATGATTGCTGTCTGTGTAAGCAGCAAAGAAACACATTGAAAGGAAAACGAATAGATAAAACACTTAAATCCAAATTCTCAGTTTATCATTGTTGTTCCATTCAAACTGCAAAAGAAAAAAGATGCGAATAGTAACTATAGAAGAGAATTTTTATTTATTGTCTTCTTTATATAAGGATTTTGAAATTTTTTGGAGGAAGAAATACAGAAAGTGATTATCAAATATACTTCGTGAAATTGTTGTGGAATTTTATGTTGATAATCGTTCAAGTGAAAAATTTATCAATGAGTCGAAAGATAGTGTTTCATATTGTTGGTCTTGATATGAAAACTCGAGATTTTTTAATACAAACTTCTGGTTTTATTAAAAAACTAATTAATTGAATTCATTATCAAAATCTAAAAGATCGTCTTTTACTATGAGAATTCACTTTCAGTTGAAATATGTTTCATATATTAAAACAGTTATACTCATGCAACTTTGTTTCATTCTTGTATAGTAATCATTTTTGTTGTTGCTCAGGAAAAAATCGTCGTAATATCTGAGAATAGTTTTTCTAGGATAAGACAACATTCTCTTGATCTCAGTATGAATGATAATTGCATAAAATTAAGAATGTTTTCGATATTAAGGATGTTCTGTAGACATCGCAATATTTTTTTGCAAAATATACACAAACAATTATCAATGTGTGTTGCGGATTTTTAATTGTATTCAATTAGATTGACAAATTCTAAGAAATAATAATAAATACGATAAAAAAAGCCGTGGTGAGGTGCATGCTTCAGAATCCATGAATTCCTCTCAAAATATAGAGCTGATAATGCAGTATGTATTATTTCTTCTTTTAGCTTTTGAGATCTCTCTATAGACAAAAAACTTATTCATTTACTTCATTTTAAATATACAGCTATAGTGTTAAAGGAATAATATTTCTAGATTCTGTCAGTCGTTTTCCATAGTTGACTGCATTTAAGACACCAGTATCAAAATATACATAATTTGAGTTTAATTTGAAGTAATGGGTAAAGATAAGAAGAATGCCGTGCTTTTGCCGTTTAATAGTAATTTTTTCTTTCGAAACTTATCAATAAATCATTTGCTGCGATTATCCAGTGAAATACTTTAGGTGTTGACATCATTTGAATCATCAGTATGGAGGAAATAGAAGAAACAACAGAATTGTTTTGGGTATTGAAAATCTTAAATTGCAAAAGATATTTTTAATAAAATCTCTTCAGCTTAATTAATATCTCATGAATGTTGTCATATTGATCAATGAAATAGATAATTCCTGTTAGTTGCCTAAAATTTCACTCTCTGTGACATTACATTATAAACTCAGAGTGAAGTACTATTTTGTATAGATGTCAACTTGAGACACGATAACAATAAATCCAAGTGAAAAATAAACATATGAATTTAGTAGTTGGTCATAGTATTCAACGATTGTACATTTTTTCATTGAATCCGTTGATTGAGTTTTAGACGATTACAAGTAACTTGCGCCTGAATTATTGATTGTAGGATGAATATATAACGAATTATTTTTTTGTCTTTTATACAAATTGTCGAACAGATATAAGAATCTTCTTGTTCATACGATTTAGTTTTCATTAAAAAAATTATTTCAATACTTTTTATTCGAAAATGAATACAATATGATTGACATAGCAGGAGTCTAATTTATTTTGCTTCTATTCAAATCTTTCGTCAAACTATTGTTAGTATAGTCTTTGTTTCGATTGAGTGTGGGTGTTGGAAATAATGCGATATTTGCAGATACAGGATTCGTTGCGGTTTCTCTTGAACATTTACGTATATGAAAACATTTTCGAATCTCATTAAATATCAGAATAGATGTTTGTTCGTTTTCAAATATTTTGTAGACATATATTTTGAAATGAAAATTGTTTGAAATAATTTTATTATAAGAATGAAAAGCATTTGCATTTAACGATAGGATATTTTGTTTCACATATTACAAGAGAAATAATTGATATAACACTTGAGGAAAACAATATCAAGAGTGTAGACCAATGTTCAAGTTGTAGAAAAGCTCGAAAGTCATGATAAAACTGAAAATGTTTTTCTTCGTCTCTTTAAGATCTAGAGTGTGGGTATGGATGTGTTTGAAGGGTCGAACAGCACCCACACCCCCAAATTCTCTCGGTTGACAAATCTTAGAAAAAAGAAGTACATCGATATCCATACTTTAAGCTCTCACCCACACGTATGTCTATGGTTGAAATTATAAAGCATACTCAAATCTCTATGATAATAATTGAAAGAATCTAATTATTTTCCATTTGAACTCATTCCATCAATTCATCGAATGGAACGATCATTTCTTTCGAAGTTTTCAAGCCTTGATAAATTACTAATAAGAAATTTTGAAGAATTAAAAATGTAATAGATCCAATTAAAAGTTTGAAATTGACGTAAATTTTGTTACAATTGATTATTTCTTGTTTTTGATCATTAAACTTGAAGACAATATGCTTTATTCTAGACAAAAGTAAGTATGGATAGAATAATTAAAAATGATTATATAGTTTCTTTCATTTGATATAAAATTGAATAATTTCATTGATTAAAAATAATGCCAACTCTAAAGAAAGAAAATATTTGAAATTGTTTAATTCGGTGCATTCTACATCGAAATCGAAAACAGACAGCAAGAATATATTATTTTAATATAAAAAAAACATAC